ATTTCCAAGCGCGTTTTGTTTCCGGTCGGTTCCGTTTTTATTTTCCACCTATTATCTTTTTTCTTTTTTTTTGACAATGTCCCCGGAGTTTGCGTTTGTGGAAATTTCCATTGGGATCGTCTACCATTTTGCCCGGATTGCGAACCCAAACGCCCCCGAAGAACGAATTAATCAAGACGCAGTTACGCAACATTCTAAAACATCTCTTGCCGCTCGAAACAAGAAACTTGATGTATAGCTTTCAGTACTTTAATTCAGTTTTTTTTTGCAAATAAATATCTAATGTACAAAATTCAGTGGCGTGGCGTCTGATAGATTGCTAAAAATATTTTGCATTAATAAGGTACATAAGCACCAGTTTTAAAAGTTATGGTAGGTATTGTACCCGTTGGTGTTTCACAGACACCTCGCGAGTAACGAATTGTTGAAGAAATCAACGAAAACATATAATGTTGTTCTATTATTCAATACTTCTTTTTAAATTTAATCGATATAAATGTTTTTTGTATTTTACCCAGAGCGATTTGAAGCGATAATTCGGTTAATTAATTCGATGAATTATTTCTATAATTCGGCGAAACTTGTCATTAATAAAATAGAACGCAGTTAAAATCCATCAACATTATAATGGAAACATGATTAAAGCATTAACGGATATATAAATATTGAACGAAAAAAAAAATGAAATTATTTTTTTTAATTTTATTAAAAATTGTACATAGATTAGTTATTTTTATATATATGTGTTTTATTGGGTTAACAAAAAAAGGGAAATAAAAATAAACTATTGAAATGCACTGAATGTTGGTAGGATTAATTAAAGAAGGAGCACGATTTCACATTGTAATGGGATATTTATCCTTCTTGCCGTTTTCAACTTCACGGGTAATTAGTGTTTGGATACTGGAGCGCGTTTATAGGATTTCCTTCAGTCGAGAACAAATTGTCCTTTATATATTTACGTTTAACTCTACGAAAATCCCATTGTCTGGAGTCACTTTCATTTTATTTTTAGGAAGAAAGAAAATAATCTATGCATATTTGCTTTTCTCACAATTATTTGAGAAATTGGACAAAAAAAACATAGAATTATTATTACTAATATTAATTGTTTTCTAAAGAAATAAAATTGTGTATAATCTTCTCATTGTTTAATTTCCATTAATAATTATATTCATTTTACTATTAAGGGAAACATATAGTGAATCCGGAGTGATCGAAGCCGCAATATGCGAGGTATTGTTGAAATTTAAAATGTGTAGTGTTATGTAAGGATTTATATAGTAGCAAACAAAATAGTGTCGATCAAAAAGAGAACAGCTCAAGAATGATACATTTAGAAACGTTCGAATTGTATGAGAATATGCGTGTCACAGAGTTTTTAATTTTTTGTTAATAAAATTTAATAAATTAATTAAATTATTTAGTTCTTGAAATTTTTAATAAAAATTTAAATAAATAAATAATTTTTGCTAAAATTTTGTCTGAAATACTGAAAAAGTTTTACTTTTAATTATTATTAATAATGTAATTACAAATAATAATTTTGTATATAAGAGTATAGAAAGTATGAATATTGCGTAGTGATTTGAAGTAATGAAAAATCAACGAAGCGACGAATCACGCAAATGTTTGACAAATATTAAGTAGATGTAAACATTTTCGGTCTGCTACCTGCCGAGTGTCGCACTTCGATAAATAATTACGCAACAGCGGATATATTTTCGCCGCACGGTTAAAACATTTCGCCCTGAAAACCGAATATAATTTAGCTTTTATAATATGTTCAACTCTGCCTGCAAATCGATGGCATGGATGGTCGCAGTTTAACAAAAAATAATGCGCGAATTAATGTTTCTTGTTTCGTGTAATCCAATTATTTCGGGAAAACAAAGCAATACTGAAAAAAATAAATATATAACTAGTGTTGTATCGTTTTCAGCGAACATTCCTGTAGTCTATTGGATAGACCAAAGCTCTATACCGAATTTATCATGAATCGATACTATTCCATAAGGACTAATAATTCCGATAATGGGTAGACCGCGTACATCTACGCTCCGCAATGGCGAGTTTAAGTGGTTTGTTGATTAAACTTTAAGTGAAATTGCTTTCGATCCATTTTTCTCTTCGCCTGAGGAACAACCCATCTCCAGGGACGGAGATTTTATAAAAGAAGAAAAAAAATTATTTCTGTGATTCCACCTGACGGATTGCAATTTAGTTCGAGATCCGAACCTTTCATCCTAATTTTAAACCCATATATGAAGTATTCTTTTTGATCGTCTATCTTGATTTTTCAAAAATCATATATAACATAGAGAATGTATTTCAACAATAAAGTAATATATTTATCCAACTTTCATATGCATCTTTTTGATCCATTCTATCTATTATAGTTTCTGAGAAAATCACTAAATAGTGAAGACACTGTATTTTCGTTTGTATCTGCAACTAATTCACCGTTTTACGAGTTTCAATTGAATTAAAATTTATAGAATATTAAGACTAGTCAAAAATGAAACAATTGTGCAAAAAATCATTTATGCGTGTACCAATAAACAAAATTTTACATAAATCGATTGCCGACTATAATGTTGAGTTCATTAAATTACATATTGGTAAATCAACCAATTCAGCGAGATTAAGTGTGGGATATCAATACCACCGATGATTGAATACAGCTGCTGCTGCAAAAAAATTGTTGCACGTATGCTCGCAATTGGCAATCGTGTATGTAGTTTTATGTTTTTGATGAAAAATTCCTGAAACTGCGTAAATTAATTACAATTTCGCACCTGTTCCGAGCATTTCAATTTAAAATATGAAAATTTGTATGACGATTTTGATAATGCACAATGTAAAAATGTGTACATAGTGCAAATTGCTTTTCGGAATATACTTTTAAACTGAGAAGACGCCTTTAAGGGCGTAAATTTCGGATACCTGAGGCGTGAGATATTAGAATGCATAAATCTGGGATACATTTTGAAGGAGTGCTTTGGTAAAAATATATAGAAAATGTCTGCCGCCCCTTATTAAATTCCTTCCAGCGTCATCGTCGCTCGTGCTCTTAAGCTTCTACCTCTACGCGACAACCTTATTACCTATGCTGCATTGCTGCTAATATGTAGGAAGGTGATTTGCTCCGGAATCTTTAACTTTGCTGAAATGACATCCAATTTCCTAAATATTACAAAGCTCAGGTCTGACTTTTGCATGTTTAGTAGGATGTTATGTATATGGATATATATGGATGATGTATGTAGATAAAGATAGATAGATTATCTTAAGATAGAAATATGCATATATCAATGAATGTACATTGATGCACATGATGTAGTGCATGTACTGGATGAACATGGTTTAACATGGATGAATTTGGATAAACATGGATGAACTAGAATGAATTTGGATGAACATGGTTTAACATGGATGAAAATGGTTGCATTTGGATGAACAAGGGTGAACATAAATGAATATGGATGAACATGGATGAATATGGATCAAGACGGATGAACATGGATGTACATGAATATAGATGGATCTAGATTGATACAAAAATATACAGTAAAAAATCAATAGTGATAGAGATGACAAAATATAAATACAGATGTAAAAGCTTCAATAGATATGGGATAAACATGGATAAATATATGTGAAAAATGTGGATGTAGATGAATAAAAACTTGTTTTTACTATAATTTATACAATAAATTATGGAAATTTACATTATCATCTACAAGTAATTAAATTAGACAAAATGTTTGATTGACTTGAAGCTTATAGTAATGTTTATCCAATAAAAATTGTTTATAATTCAATTGAGCATGAAGAAAATAATATAAATATTTGCTTGTCTTTATTGCTTCGAAAGTGGAAAGGAAAGATGAAAATAAAAACAGGACAATTTGAAGTGTATTGAAAAGTTGGCTCGAAGCGGTGCGCTCTTAGAGAAACAAAGAAGAAAACGAGGAAGAAGAAAAAAGGTAACAAAGGGTAGTGCTTGGAATGGGGACAACCACCAAAGTCGGGGAACAGATAAATTCAATTACCTGCATGGAGCGTTGAAAGGAAAATTACATTCAGTAAATTGCAGTTTATTGGTGGTGAATAACTGTCCTCGAAATATGAGTGGGTTCAGCTCGAGATTTACTGCTTAACAGTGTGTCCTTTTTTTCTTTCCATTCGAGTTGGATTCCTTTGATCCTAAAGCATTGCGACATGAAAGTCCTATTTCGTTATTCTATTTTTAATGTGCAAAACTTATGGATATAGAAGTAAAGCTTAGGTATCCGAGAATTATAGTCAACAGACTTTGATTGAATAGATAGAGAAAAAAAAATGAATGCAGCAGTTGAAATAAATAGTTCATCTGCAAATAACTATATATGTATGACCTTTGTTATTTTTATGTAGAAATTTAGTAGTAACTGATAATGGAAAGGATTAGATCGGTATAGAGATGGGATTTGTTATGTGCAACCTAGAGTAAATTTATATCCATTAAGATCGGTTAGCTATCGTGGTAATCTCGCATTTGCAGCAAGTAAGTTAAGCCATTATTCTCTCCCAGCCATTTACACAGGCTACGTACTTGGTTTTTGTTGTTCTCGGAATGGTGTTGAATGTTAAATAATGCTTTCCGAACTATGTGTGTTTTTGCGAACACGTGTATGTATGTGGGCACGTTGAAAAGATGCCGAGGACAAATTGCAGACGAGAGACCGAATGTAAATGGCAGTCATTACCCATTTTATAACCCCCCCCAGCCCTACGCCACCGATGAGACCTAACCATCCCCCAAAACACAAAACGATCCACTTTGTGCTCATGTGTTTCTCTTTCTCTTTTTTCTACTACAACTTCTAGCACGATCTCGCTTCATCCTTCCGGCCGTTATTATTGCAGCGACGTGACTGGTCAATTAGTACGCGCAATTATGTCCGACAACAATTTTCGATTGCGAGTTTGAAAGATTACATTGGTATAACTCTTACCTGCTTGAATCCGCGGTAGATGAGCTGCAGCTCCTTCCTGGTGAATTTCGTCTTGCTCTCTAATTTGGTGATTTCCTCTGGGCGATAACGTGCAACGCTTACATTGTAGATATCGCTGCTGCTGCTATCTTCGCCTGAAAATGACAACAAGAAGCAAAACAGAAACAAAGGAAAATGAGCAAGAATATATCAAATGCATTTACGTACATACACAAATAATGAAAGTTATTAAAGGAAACAAAAGCAGTTTATAAACGGAAGTAATTTGTTTAGCAGAAATTAATTTTGTACTTATTGATTAATTCGAACATAAAGCGGCGTCAAAACTTAATTAAAACTGCTGATAGGATTTACTTGAATGCGGGAGTGTATTATATTTGCAGAGCTTTCTTTACCCGGGGCAAATGCTATTAAAGTTGTCAACTTTCAAGTTAGAGACATTACTTCCCGTTATTATATGTAATAATTACAAATCCTTTGGTAAGATCATCCGTATCACAATCATATTATTTCTCATACTTATGCCAAAAAAATTGTTTAGGGTCCTCAAATAGTAAAACTAACTGGTGTCTGGGGCCCACAACATTCTTAATGTGATTCTCCGAGAACCAACACTCCATCTCTTGTCAACAATTTGTTAACTGTTGTTTAGGGTTTGCATGTGCCATCATTGCATTGCACATTTTTGAAAATTTCCCAATTCAAAAATTGTAAAAAATAATAATCTTACTAGTGATAATTTATTTCTAATTATGTTTTAATTACTATAGTGATTTCATAAATTGAATAAACATATCAGGATGTATATAAATTAATTACGTATTTCAAATTATTTTAAATTTCTCAGAATATAAAATAAAAAAACTATTAAACTTTAGCTCTTTAAAGTTCCAATTGTATTAGAATTGAAGTTCTTGCAGACAAATGAACGCTCGAAGCGAAATCTCAGAGTTTACCCGATTGTTTCGTAATGCAACAATTGCTATAAATCAAGAGTCCACGGACGTCTGTTAGTAATATCCCTGCTTTATTCAAGGGCTAATTCCGAATAGATTCTTATAAAACCACCAAGGGTTGATTTATTGTGGCGAAATGCGAATTAATATTACTGAAACAGTACATTTCTGGCAAATAAATCATGAATTTTAGTCGAATCCTACGTGTATAAAGTCCTTCACCGTATTGCTTCAACGACTTACCGGAATTGGTTTAGTTTTAGGCACAGCGACTCCAATTCATTTATTATGTATGACTAGTTTCTAAGTCGCTGTCGAAGGGTTGTTCACCTCGGGTTACCGGTACTAATTAGAAAACAAAAGCATTCACATATCGATTGGCTTTAGCCAACGTTGGCTTCCAAATACTGTATGCCTTTTTGTGCTCCAATTTTTGTGGATCGACGAAACTCGACGTTAGGAATTTTTAAATTGCAGTTTGTCAATTTGCAGCGTACAAAGGATAGACGTACTTGTTGTTTCAAATCCTTTTTTTTCATTTTTTACAGCTCATAGCAGACGACTCGATGACAACAGGAAGATTCCAGTAGGCTCGTTGGAAAGGTGAGACATTCAGCTTTCATACAAGTGGTCGATGATGTAATTATCTTAAGGGGTTGTCGATATTCACGAAAAACTGAAAAAAAACGTCGTTTCTCTGTTTTTTCAATTTCTACAGCTCATAGCAGGCGTCTTCACGACAGATCCCAATAGACTTGTTGGAAAGGTGAGATATACAGCTTTCAAATGTGTCGTCGATCATGTTATTATATTTAGGGGTTGTCGAGAAATTCAAGAAAAACTGAAAAAAATTGCTAAAATCGTCTACACCCTGTTACGCAACGAACATTACATAACTATTGTTTCAAAAAGTTGCGTAAGAGTGGCGCCCATCTTACGCAAATATGAAATGCAAATGTTTATTAGTTTTCGAGTTATTATCGAAAATCGATTTTTAAGTAAATCTTAAGGGGTTATCGAAAAAAACGTCGTTTCTCTGTTACGTATAGTACGTTAAGTAACTTTTGTTACATAAAAAGTTGCGCAACGATTACCTGTACATGATTATGCAATAAAATCATATAAAAGTTCATTAGTTTTCGAGTTATTTTAAAAATAAATACAATTCACTGTTTTTTCAATTTCTACAGCTCATAGCAGGCGACTGGATGAAAGCACGAAGATACCAATAGGCTCGTTGGAAAGGTGTGATATTCAGCTTTCTATTGTGTGGTCGCTCATGTAAATATCGCAAAAATCATCTATTCGCTGTTACGTAACAAATATTACGTAACTATTGTTTTATAGAAAGTTGCGTAAGGGTGGCATCTATCTTACGCAATCATGAAATACAACAAAAGTTACGTAATTTTCGTGTAATTAAGAAAAACGTGAAAACTCGACAGATCTCAGCGAAACACTTTCTTTTCCAATTTCTACAGCATAGAGATATTGTTAATTTATTAAAAACCTATAGGTGTACTATGTAATTGTTTCTTTAAAAAATGTGCATGTACAAAATTATTAAATATTAAAAAGTATGAATACATTTTGTATGTGTTCTGTGAACAAATGATGCTACGTCCTATATGTTATGTAATTGTTCTATACCAAATATTGCACAGTTATTAAATATAATATTATTTTATGTTAATGCATTTTGTATATGTTATAAGTTAATGCGAAGTAACAGTTCGTAGGAGGTCAAGCATTTTTTTTCTTTCTTTCTTGTTCTGCAGCAATTGATCCAAATGTCAACGAAACGACACGCAATCAATTACAAGTGACTTATGTAATTTGTAACGCACTGGCGGTTGCAGCGAAACAAAAACGAGAAAATAAATAAAGCAATTAGAGAGAGTTTCTCGTATGTGAAAATCGCATTAACGGGAAATGGATATGCCATTCGTCCGTCGCCCTAATCGCACCCCCATGCCCAGACATTAAGGCTGTCTGGTATAAATATACAAAAATATAGAAGAAGAAATAAAAAGCGAAATAAGATGAGACCGAGTTTATCATAATCCATTCTCCCTTTTGTGGTCGTGATTTTTGACGAGGTGAAACTTTATCTGCAAGAAGGAAAGAACGAACAACAAGAAAAAAAAGAATAAGAAGAACATGATGTGGGTTGGAAGCGAAACGGAAATAAACTGCATCAATGGGGGAGAATGGTGAATTCAGGAACACAATCACCCTCCAAGAAATACACGGCTCATTTCCCGTCGGTGGAACAAAAGAGGAAGAAAGTAGAAATAAAAACGGAGTGAGTTTGAAGCATTGTTTCGGGCATCGAAATTAATTTGTATGTGCGAATTTAGCCCTGAACCACAGTTTCGACTCGGATTCCTTCGCCTTTATTATCATTATGTGCTGCTGACAGCTACTTAACACATGACCTATTTTGTCTTAAACATGTACCAAACCCTTAATTGTTATTGTTATAGTATACGCAACGCCACTTCACATAGCCAATTCCTTTTTTTCTCTCTCTCCCTAAGCCTTCTGAACAAACAAGAAACAAAGTACCTTTTCGCATTTAATGCTTTGCGACCCCTTCGAAAATGGCACGTTCCAACATCCGACGCAGCAAGCATTAACGTTTAATTAAGGGACAATCCCCATTGGAGCCCGACAATTCACAACTTTTTAACATGCACCACTTTCAAACTCCACAACTTATTTCATACTAACTAGAGTTTATCGGTTATTTAAAGAAATTTATGTAATTCAAAAACCGATTGAAAATAATAAAATTAATTAACGATTAAAAACATAAACAAACCGGTGTTTAAAAGTAGGTTTTTGTATAAACGCTTATACTAACGTCGTATATTGTTAACCTACGTGCTGCTAACTTTGCGGTGTTAATACCTTCATTGATATGTATTGAGACTCCAGGAGATGATCACATTTGGTCTTCTTCCATTAATAAGAACAATTGGTAGTTGAGATGATTGAAATGTTACACTTTCGACCAAGTTGGGCTCGCAGATTCTATATAATATCTAGAACCTAACTTGAACGAACGTGGTACATTTATTTGCTATCTCCTAAATTCCAGATGAGGTAAATCCATTTTATTATATATTATTTGTAGTGTAGTTCACTCCACTGTCAAATAAATTAGTGCAAAAAAGTGCACATGCTAATTGTGAAACTACTTTAACCCTTTGCGGACGAGCAGCGGTAATTCCATACGTAATTGTTACAAAAATAATATTAAGTAATTACAGTTTTTAACACTTATATAATTAAGTAAAAGATTTATTTCTCGGTAAAATAAGGTCGTATAAAAATGTTGTTTATGACTTATAAGGGTCATTATTAGTAGCTTTTTCAGCGTGAGATGGGCCGAGCCCAATCATTTTCACCAAACCCAGATATTGATCCTAGATCTACCCTAGATAATAAAAAAAAATGTGTTTATTAATAAATTATTTCCACTTATTAATTACCGTTAGTATATTAAAAATTGTAAAAAAAAATATTTTGTAACATCAAATATTTAACTATTGATTTAATTAAAACAAAGACTGATTTTTTTATTAACATTATAAAATAATTGCGTAATTTGAAATAACTCTAAAAATGAAAATATTGTTAGAAAAATGTGTTTCCGGGTCGGATGAAAATTTTCATTTTTATATATTTTTCGCCGCATTTGTTATTTCCACCTTTCGCAGCATTTTTTACACAATTATGATTTTTACTTTATGCTTTTCCCCTTTCTTCCCAATTGTTTTATTTTTGAACGCGCAGGACGATACAACCCCTAAATCATAATTACACCAAACGAACAAAAAATGAGATTTAGTGAGCTTTTCCTGCCAGCATAATTCTTACTTACTCTCGCCTCGTACTTAGCAAAATGTAAACTTCGAGGGGTTGCAGTTAATTGAAATGATTATGTTTCCTTTTTCATTAGCGAGCGAGCGTTTATTGTCGCTGTTTTTTTTTGTAGATATAATACTAATCTCGTTTTGTCCTTTTTATTTTTTTTTGTTATTGTCCGATCCCAGCAATTTCGCCCTTCGTTCCACGAGAATTGGCCGCGCATAGTTTCATTTAATATGCGCTAATTGGATCAATGATTACACAATCAACATGTCGAGCATTGTGCTTAGTGGAGTGTAACC